CCTATATAAGTCGCGCCGAATGCCATTTCATCAGAAATTTCTCTTTCAGAGTGAAGATCATCTCTTCGCTGGACTCTGGCAGCGGAATGATGCTCCTATTCAGCACTTCTCCTCAGCGGCCATCCGGCGAACATAAAAAAACAATTTTTCCTAGAGCAAATTTCCTAGCTCCAGGAGAATACAGACTACACCTCCAAGTGGTTCTGATGATTTGGTTGGTCTTTGAGAGGGCAGAGGTGGACCTCTCATTGCCCAACTTATTTCTCGTGTGACGTGTCATCCATTCTAACCTTTCTGCAAGAGCTGCTGGATAAAGGGGCACACCCCTTCCACGCTCAAAGTATATGTGTCAGCCATCATGGCGAATCATGCTGTTGTGGCTGGCAAGTCAGTTGCCAAAAGTGACCATGTTAAATTACTGATGGGAGGTCGGAGATTGAATTCACCTTGTCCTTATACTATGCCGACCTGGGACTTATCCATGGTCCTCAGGACCCTTCGAGGACCCTCTTTGAGCCACTCCATTCGACCGACTTATGGCCTCTGTCACTTAAGACCACCCTCCTTTTGGCTTTAGCCTCGGTCAAGCGAGTGGGAGATCTGTAACAGCTCTCAGTCAGCACTTCCTGCCTTGAGTTTGCCGTCTACCTTCACTAGGTTTTATAACCTGGGCGCCCCTGCCCTTCAGGCATGGATCCTGTCCGCCTAATCACCCTGATCCCCTATACGAGTGGAAAAGGTCTTAGTTATGTAGACACCAGCCTCAGGACCTGGGTCTCATTGTTACCTCATGCTTCTTAGAAGCCCTCATTGTCAGTGTTGGGGATAACGCATTACAAGTAGGGGTGCACCGATACTGAGCTCCTGTACTCGTACTCATACTCGTTAAAATGCCCCGATACCAAACGCCGATACCACACAGCATGTGACAAGTGCCATATTCAGACAAAGAAACACAGACAACAGACAGCAGAATTGAGTTATTAGAGATTAAAGATGTCTACGAAGTATATGTATGCAATGAATATAAAACATTCAGTATTAATGCCTGTATAGCTGATTTGCGCCAGCTGGTAAGCAAATCACGCTGAGTGGATTGAGCGCGCGGCGGCGCAGATGCGCGAGCTTGTCGAGTGAATATCCCTTTCTCACAGACATCACTGGAAAGTTTGGCGCACTTCTGTTGTGTGATCTTGATGTATGTTCACTTAGCACGCATCATTTGGATTAAAACTAAATCGTAAAAATAAAACCATTCATAGGGGCATTCACTATAAACGTCATTTATTTTCACCCTTAAGCATACACGACTTTCTGGCGAAAGTGAAACTAACAGCCTGTGTGAAATGCGCAGGCTGTACTGTACTTGTACCTCTCATTCTGCACCAGTAGCCTACAAATACATGTGCGCGGTGCGCCTTTTGCTTGCTTCATGAGTGTTTCTGCATTATATGAGTGGCTTTGGAAAATAAATCGCTGCACGTTTCAGATGAAAAAACGCGACTTCTATTTATGAAAATATCACAGTTAGGAGATTTATAACGAGTGGTTCCCTGCATTTTTACAGCAAATTGCGTGATTACAGTACTAAGCCGCTGCAATGGAACAGCTCTAATGCTATTAAATTAAAGATGATGTACATAGAGCAAAACAATGAACAGTGAAAGAAACAAAAACTTGTAAAATACATTTTAATGGGCATAATTAAGTGTGAAAATAACAGAGAGTTACTTTTTCAAATAAGTAACTCCAGTTACTTTGTTTCCCATGTATTGACTGACAGCTCTTGTGTTGCCATGTTGAGAGAAATCATGAATAAGTGCAGAGCGTTGCGTGTGAACATGATCTTACTGTAGTTCTAGACTAAATATGAACATGTATTTACTCATCTCACCTGCACAAAACAGATTCAGTATTCCTCAAAATGAGTAAAAACAGTAAAAATGCAAACTCAAAATATGACACAAACCTGCATAAATATGCTTTATGTATTTAATCCTATTTTATTAACCAATGTCTTTGCTACTGACCTTGAGCGAATTGATCCAGTGATCCAATTCAACCATACAAATAAGCAAAAGTGAGTTTAGATAAACATAACATTTGTGTGTGTTTTTTTTATTGCTGATCGAAGAGTGTTGAGCTTTCTTTACTTAAGCCTGAGTCTCATTCATATCACTTTTGGTGTTAAGGGGCTTTTACATTTGCCAAAAATAGAACTTTTTATATTAAAAACAAACAATCAAGCCCAGCCCAGATGTAAAAAGTAACGCAAAAGTAACGTAATGCATTACGTTCTATAAAAAGTAACTAAGTAACGTAACTAGTTACTTTTTTTAGGGAGTAACGCAATATTGTAATGCATTACTTTTAAAAGTAACTTTCCCCAACACTGCTCATTGCAGACACTCCGGGGCTGAGCTCGCAGAGTGGCTTTGTTCTGCACTTATTTATAGCACGTCACTATTGGATACGTTCCCCATTGCGTTTTACGCAACATGAGAGACCATCTTCAAAAGGGGGAATGCTCCGGTTACTAACGTAACCTCGGTAAAGCTGAATGATGCACGATGCAGCTGTCGATGACTGTTACTAGCGGTTGAAAGCTGTTGTTATGATTATTCATGAGTTGATATAACATATTATACGTTTTTTTTTATAATGCATTATGCATTCATTATAATGCCTTAAGAATACCCTTATAATGTATTATAAATACGGGCTTCATAGAAAGTTACCAAAGATTCTGATAAAATGGCATTCAGCACAGAGTTACAGCCAGTTGACTCATTTTGGCGGGCTGAAATGCCATTTGTTCGTGCAGCTACACGAACGTGAACAAATCAGGCTTCAGTATAAACAGGAGTTTCTCCCATAGCGTTTTATGCAATGCTCGTTCCCGATATCTAAGGGAACCAAGATTACGTTGGTAACCGGAGTGTTTTCAGGTCATAACATAGTATTGTTCAATATTGTTCAAGTATCGTTCTATATAGGAACCGAACGAAAATAAATCTTTATTAATCATAATTTGTTAAAAAAAGTTGGTGTTTTACTGCCGCTAGTATTCATTTCAGCTGGCAACTGCTGTGAATTATATGTATAGGTACGTTTTTTTTTTTTTTTGCAAAAGCATGTTTTTTCCAGTGAGCCTGTATTTCCTCTCTTTATAACAAAATGTACATAACTTTGACAGAGGTTAAAAGCAAAAGCTTACAGTTACAGCTGGTTGATAGTTTAATCTGGCCTGTTAGCCAGCTGTACTGATCTGATCCTAAGAGAACTAAAACAAGGCCAGAGAATCTAAATATAGACCCTGCTTTTCACAGTATTACAAGGCTTGACCTACGAATGACTAGGGCTTTTTGTAAATATTCTTTTGGGCTGTTGCCCTTCAAGAATACGCAAACATAGCCATTAATTTCCCTCATGGGGTTGTTTGTAGCAAAAATAATGTGTTGACAGTTCCAAAAGCAATTCATATTTTGTAATATTTGCGTACATGTTGTATTTTAAGATTAAATTAGGGAACATCTTGAAAACATCTGTACCAGGAACTCTGCTTGAAGGTAAATAATCAGCATGTTGTTTTTGGACATTACAATTCTTTCCTTACGCCCCAGCAGAATGAATAACCCAGGATGTGATATTATGGTCCTATGCTTTAATAGCAGAATACTCATGAAAGAGGTCCTGAGAGATTACAATGTTCATCTGTTGACTATGAATGATTTCCTCATGGCAAGATTTAGCAACATGACAGGAAGAGCATGAGGCAATGTGACAGGCTTACCAATATTTTAAAAGAGCACCTGAGGCTGGTGCGTGCTATACATTCGATGCCAAACAGGCTTCGTTTACAGTCATAGTGGGAAGGCTGCTGTTTGGAGTCACTAAGCGGCGTGATATTTTTAGCGCATTGAATATCTATATATAGCATACTTGTAAGGTCATCTGGGTCACGTTCGCCAGTGTCATCTCACCATAAACAGGAGATGGCTGGCTAAAAGGGATTGTGGGTAATCTTTCCTGTCTCACTAAATGTGAAAGGGTTTCAGCCTTGTTATTATCCCGAGGGATGGGATTATTATTCTCCATCTCTAAAACAAGCTTGGTCTGAAGATGACCTGAAAAAAACATGAATGTGGTTAAGCTCTCTCTTGCTTTCTCAATGTGAGTCTACTCTATTTATGAGTGACCAAACAGAGCTTGTTTATTACATTTGAGCTAAATCAATCATACACTTCAGGAGAAAATTTTTTATATATATATTGTAACGGGGTGAAGAATCACACAACAGGAAATCTCAATCAATACCCCGGAGGGTGGATTTATTGAATGGACAGCACCTGAGTTAAATATTTGAGTGTCACAGCAAAGGGTCTGAATACTTTGGACCATGTGATATTTCAGTTTTTCTTTTTTAATAAATCTGCAAAAATGTCAACAATTCTTTTTTTTTCTGTCAATATGGGGTGCTGTGTGTACATTAATGAGGAAAAAAAATTAACTTAAATGATTTTAGCAAATGGCTGCAATATAACAAAGAGTGAAAAATTAAGGGGGTCTGAATACTTTCCGTACCCACTGTATATATATATATATATATATATCCAAATGTTTTAATCACCACTACTGTATTGCAAACAGGACATTCTAATTACAGTAAACTGCATTCAAACTAATATCTCATAAAGAAAATTATTTCTGAAGGTCTCATGAAGTTCATTAACTTTAATCTTTTTTCTTAATGTATATGAGTGATCAAACTGAGCTTGTTTTCTGATTGTCTTTATTTCAGTTCATCGATCACACAACTCGGAGAGGAAAGAAAATGAATGAACTGATTTATTTATCGATTCCACATTTTTAATCACCGCTAATTATTATAAACTATTGATTGCAATAAAGATTACTACATAGCTAAAAAAACAAATAAATAACATAGAAATATCACATGTAGAGAGAAGTTTTGAATTCTTCACAGTGGTACAAATCTACATATATTGTCTAATAAGTTACTTTTCACTAAAACCAAAAATGTATTGTATCAAAAGTAAGCAAACTTGACTTTAAACAGAGAAATCCTTCAATGAGTTGATGTCACTTTTTAAAACTGTAGTGACCAAATGACTGAATGGTCTAGAACGCTCAGAAGTTAGAGAGAGACTTTAAGTGGCACTCGTTCCTGGCAGCCTTTGTTTGGTGGTGTTGAATTCTGGTAGGACAGTCTCACAAAAATAACAATCAGTATAACGCCTGTAAACAAGAACATAAAATGTGATTGCAGGAACTGCAAATTGTGTTATCCTCTTCTGTTTCCAATCATTTCAGGATGTTCTGAATGAGCAGTGTACATGTCTCACCTATAACTCCCAGAGTTCCGAGCAGGATGCCCACTGTTGACTGAATAGTGGGCATGCCCTGAAGCTGTTTTGGTGCTGTTCTACAGTTCCCCCTCACATTGCATGGGCAAACTGTCACTGTGAGAGAAACATTGACCATTGAGCTCTTTTTAAGTGGGTTATAGGGGCAATGGTTGCACACAGGAAAATAGGACATATGGAGCACTACTGAGGGTGATTGCATCGGTGAGGTCTCGTGGGAAACTAGCATGAGAGTCAGACAAGATTAGATTGTGACAGGGAGGGAGAGAGAGAAGCCATGCACCTGTGCCCATGCATCACTGGAGACTGTGTGAACAGGATGTTTCATGAGAGAATCTATTAAACCAATGGATGTGAATGCATGACCCAATCACACACCAAAACATACAGCATTGGTTCTCAACCTTTTTGGCCCCCATATTGGCTAAGATAATTCATCTGGTATTTCTGCTGTAATTACAACAACACTGCTTGTTTTTAAACTTTTTTTTAATTAACAAACTGGCAGTGTTGATATATAAATTAAACACGATTCATTTTTAGATAAGATTCAGGATCCTGTATGTTTTTAAATACAAATAAGTTATTGAGGGGGAAAAGAAATATGATTTTAGATTATATCTTGTTTTTTTGTGTTTTAGCATTTTAATTAATTTACATTTTTTTACATAATTATTAAGTAATAATACATCAATTATTTTAAGTCATCCTGTGGCCCCTTTAAGAACCTCTTCTTGTCAGGTAAATATGCACATACAGTATGCTCAACATAAAAATTATCAGTTTTTATTCAAGTCAAAAATGGTATTTTAATTTTTTTTTTTTTAATGTGATAAGATCAACTGGTTTTATTTTTTTATTAACCTGTATACATGTTTTATTTATTTTTAAATGAATTAAATCTACCTTCAACTGCATGCATCCATTTTTAACAATGGTCCTTCCAGGGAATATGTAAAAGAAGGCAAAATCTAAATAAACATTGATTTAACTTGAAAAATCTCACGTATTATCACAACCTCACATCAGTGAGCTTTATGAGAAAACAAGGCTCCATCATTACAGATACTGACTACATTAGAGCTAAATTGTTTCACAAAAATCCTCTGACTGAACAGTCATTAAGTTTATTTGTACATTTTTAATGCTTGTTTTATCATGGAAATGTGGCTTAATTGCATTTTTATGTGACGGGGGAACATAGTGAGCGATCCAAATTTAAACAATGTCATTTGTGACCTCCAATGAACATTACAGTCTCCATTGAGCCAATTTAACATTGTGTTCAGACAGCTGATGAATGCAATGTATGAACATAATCAAATGATGTACATGGTTTCCTTCTTTACGTAAACATGCTCTCTTTTCATTCATTCAGTTCTATGTTAGTCCGTGTGTTACCTGGCAGATTGATGAATGTGCTTCTGGGTGGAGAGCTGCTGTCTGAGATGGTAAAAGGTACAATGTAAACCTCTGGAGGCAGGTATGGGACATTCAAAGACAGGTTGGTGTGAGTGTCTGTGGAAAAAAAATGACATCCCAGCTTACATTTCTATGAAAGATCATAAAGAACAATGTTGTTGCTCTTACCAGTTATTATGTTGGCTTGACAACATAAATATTAGCAATGCGCTAAAATATGCTAGCATGGAAGTTAGTAAGGAGTTACTATAACATGCTAGAAACATGCTAATAATATGCTAAAACATGTTAGCAACATGTTACAACATGTTAAAATGCTAGCATTGTGTTAAAACAGCTTAGCAACCATCAAACTTAATTTTAAACTTTCAGATGAGGCCAGCGTCAAAGTTTGTCCTTACAAACTTTATTTTCTCTAGTTATTAATATGAATTATAATATTTACCCTTGGAATAAAAATAATAATAATTAGGTGACACAACATTAAGTCAAGCAGTCGAGTGTAATGTTGCTGAGTAAATCTTATGGAAAAACTCCTCACTGGGCCCAGTCAGGATTTGGCCATGTGACGCAGAAGCAAGAACTGAGTCCAGTAAACAAGAGGCTGTTATCAGTCTCTGCTCACTCTTATCGATGGTCCAAGAAGCCCCACTAGTGTCCTTTGACACTAGAGTCCTTTAATGTGCTAGTCAACAGGGGACTAAAGGGGTCACCAGTACTAAACGAGTACAGGATTATCTCTCACAGGTATCTCTCTTGTCAGAGGTGACCATTATGTTGCCCATGGCCTCCACATCAAAAGCTTTCTGGTGGAACCACTTAAAGAAATGTATAGTTAATTCTACACAATATAGACAGTACAATACAACTATCTATCGGGCCTATTCATAGTTTTCAGTCACGTGAAAACTGCAGCACAAGCATGTCCATCTCTTTCATGCCATGAATATTTAGATCACCTCTCAAAAGAAGAAAAACAAAGATATGTGATCAAACTTGGGCACATATACATTGTGAAAAACGCTTAACATGGCTTAATGTAGACTGTGATTTTAAAAGATCAAATTCAGTGTACACCTGATTGATGATGCGTAGTAAATACGGGCAAGCAGATGACTTTCTTATTTGTAATTTTTAATCTTTTTTTATCCTTCATTCAAATTCAGTTCAAATTCAGGAACTGAACTCCATCAGACATTAAAGAGGTGGATGTGCTTGTGTCATGAGTGGACACACACACCACAGAAGAAAAGACACATGTTCAGGGTGAAATATAAATTGAGACCTACAGACGCCAGACTACATCATCCCTCACCATCATTCTCGACAGGCTTTCATGATAGAGCATGTAAAGCTGAACAAGTAAAAAAGGAAGAGAGAGAGGTGAGTGTGGAAAAAAAAAAAAGAAACTCACTGTTGGATGTCTAAAGATCAATCACATGAAAAGTCAATGGAAGTACACTTTTAGCCTCTCAACCTACCGGCCCCAGCTGTGAGATCATATAAATTAAAGGCAGCATAATTACCCCATGTCACTAGAGGAGGCCTTTTTATCCATTAACAAGAAGGAAAAAATAAACTTAGAAATACTGAGACAGAGACCAAGAAGAAAAAATTGAGCGTGAAAGAAAAGGAGTGAACAACAGAATCAAAATCTATTTGATTCTGGTCCGTGACTCAGACGCTGCAACTAAGTCAACCTGCTCACCGGCATGAGCTTGGCACATTAACGATGCCTAAAGCTATCAGGAAGAGAGCCATTAAGCTTATTACACCCAACACAGATTTGTCTGAAGACACTAAACATGGAGGGCAATTTCCTTTGTCAGTACGCTCTTTTCCCCAGACCTGCACTGTGTGTGATTCAGCAAGTGGAAAGCATGGCACCCAGTTCGGATGACGTCTTAATTTGACTGTATAGATGCTACAGTCACAGCACAGCAGTTTTTTTTCTTTTCTTTTCAAATCTCTAATTTTATCGACATTGACGTCATTGCTAGAGGAGGTCAGTGTAACCGGGCATGTCAGCGCTATTGTGATTATAGAAGGTTTGGACACATTAAGGGAATGAGTGAAGATCGTCTGACATGTATTTTTTAAATGACTGACAGACAAATAGATCTTTAAAGACGGGTCACATAGTTCTTGGGCGATGGGGAAGATTTGTCACTTCACATTCAGCCCAAGTATTATTCAGTACGTAGAGGGGCTGGAATTGGGTAAAGGAATAGACAAACCATTGATGGGAGTGAGCTTCCAGTTGCGGCGGACAGTGGCGTCACTGCGGAGGGAGAAGTTGAGCCTTCCTCCATGCTGGGGCCCATCGCTGTCCCGAGAGGCCAGAACCAGAGCCTGATCCTCCCAGCGAGGTGTGCACAGGTACTTCCAGGAGTAATCGCCCACCAGAACAGGGCTGTTGTCATTTACATCCAGAATGTGCACTGTCACCAGCGTGGAGGCCGACAAAGAGGAATTACCTGAAGGAGAGAAGAGGTGGCAGAAAACATTTTTATCTTAAAAGGTATTTAGTGCGCATTTAGTCTGTGTATTTTAGTATGTGTGTGGAATCTCTTAAAGGGATAGCTCACTCAAAAATGAAGATTTTTTTTCAAGAATGTTGGTAACCAAACAGTTTTGGTGACCATTGACTTCCATTGTATTGCCAACAAAAGACCGAGACATTTTTCAAAATTTTCTGTTCCAGTAAAGAAAGAAAGTTGTACAGGTTTGGAATGACATGAGGGTGAGTAAATGATGACAATTTTTTTGGTGAACTATCCTTTAATGAAAGTTAGCAAATACACTAAAAATCCACACTATGTGCCATGCCACAAAAGCTTTATTATACAGTGAATTAAGCCATGCATTATTAATATCATGTACAGTCGTGGTCAGAATTATTGGCACCCTTGGTAAATATGATCAAAGAAGGCTGTGAAAATAAATCTGCATTGTTAATCATTTTGATCTTTTATTTAAAAAAAATCACAAATATCTAACCTTTCATTGAACTAAAACAATTGAAATACACGTTTATACACGACTGTATATAAACAGAGATGCAACTCTAGCCATAGTTCAGTGGATTGTGGTTGGTATAAATAAGCTGCTTGCACTGTTTCTTCGCTCTTTTCACTGCAGGAGATGGTTTAACGCAGGCATTAACATGATGCTAAATATTGGTCAGGAGCTGCGTTAAAGAGAAGCTACTCACTGCAGAATAAATGGGTGGAGCTTACGTCTCGCTCCTCCCTGCTAGACGTCCAGCGAGGAGGAGCAAATGTAATTTTTGCCTAATGATTGGAGCTAGAATATGCAACCACACCCTAACCTTACCTACAACTCTCCCTCCACCCCATTAGATGTCCAGAGAGGTGGAGCTGGAAGTCATTTGACTCTGCAGTGAGTACCACTTGGCAATAAAGGCTGTGCAGACTGAGATTAGTGCTACAAAGCTCAATGGCATCAGTCTCTGTTTAACCAAGAGAGAGCTATTATTATAAAACAATAAAGTCTGATTTGAAAAGGAATATTAAACTTCATAATCTTATATTTTATCTTGCAAAGAACAGCTCTTGCTGCCAGAATCACATTAGATGAAAAAGTCCATAGACTACATATTACAGATGAAAGGAGTGAATTTATTTCCTTATGAAATTAACTCTTCATGAAACCAATACTCAGGAACTCACACAAAACAGACACCATGCAATAAAACAATAAAACTTATCTGGAGAAGAAAGGTAAAAGGTTGTTGATGCTATGCATTTTAGACCGTGTGTCTTGTGTTAAATTAGGATAACTGTTACATGTGTGACTATGTAAAATTCGTTTGACTCCTGCATGGAACACTTGGCTATTTTCCATATAGCTACAGTAAACCATGTTGCCACACGGATACAATATGTTTCACAATTGCATTATCCTTTCTAAATTGGCTTCTAATTGTTTCATTATGTAATTGGCATGATACACTTTTACCTGACTAATAATTTTTTTTTATATTTGATCTATTCTGGATTCTCCTAAAATCATTATGACCAGTAAATCATAGGAGGCTAATGCTACCGTAAATCTGTGTCCAGGAAAGGACAAACTGAAGGCTTGTGAATGAAAGGAGCAGTTGGCACTTCATCTGAAGACCTTTTGATTTCTGTCTATCACTGATTTAGCAAGATGTATGGAAGTGGCTAAATTAAACTTTTTGTAAGAGTGAGCAGTAGGCAACCAACTAAAAGGTATTAGCTAACTTATTACACCCTCTGACTAAGATCAGACTGGCTAGTTTGCGTGCATGAATTTACCGCAACCCCGGGGCGCGTTTCTCTGAGCGGCATTGGGTCCCTGATGAACGAATAATTGAAAGTATGGGATTCCCAGAAGAATCAAATATCTAAATTAATATACAATCAATATTTGTGATCATTAAGTTTAGGCAATATTTCTAATTAAAAACTGATCACTTGAAGGCTAGTTTGCGTGCATGAATTTACCGCAACCCCGGGGCGCGTTTCTCTGAGCGGCATTGGGTCCCTGATGAACGAATAATTGAAAGTATGGGATTCCCAGAAGAATCAAATATCTAAATTAATATACAATCAATATTTGTGATCATTAAGTTTAGGCAATATTTCTAATTAAAAACTGATCACGTGAAATTGGAGTCAGATTGAACACGGAGCTAGACTAAAATTTTAACTAAATCCTGATAAATTCAGAAGCGCAAGTAAAAGACAGAATATGCATTAAACATTAAACCAGGCCACTGGATTCCGCGTTTTGGGCTGGCGGGTGGATCCTTACACAGAAGAAAAAAAGAGAAGAAAAGCCTCCAAAATAAACAAATAACAAAAACACCAAAGATAAATTCTAATTTTCCTGAAGGAGCTGAAAAACAACAAAACAAAATCACAACACTCACTAGAAAGCCCCAAGAAAATGAATAACAAAATTGCAACTAATTTCAGACAGACCTTAATTGAGTGTTTGCATTTTAAGCCTGCCCTGTAAAACATTCATATAGTTACACTTTTATGTATTTACATATTTTGTTATGACACTTATATAGCAAAGACAGTAATATATTGAGCTGAATTTTAGCCTCTTAACTTTAGAATTGTTTTTGTAAACAGACTAATATTTCACACAAAATAGTTTGAAATTAAACAATAATTGGCAGACCACCTGCGGTACCACCATGGACGTCCTAGGCCTTATGGACTCCCTGATGAAGACCCCATCACTAATGAATGACTAATAAATGACTCCCTAGTTGAAGACCAGACCTTAAACAAGAAGTTTGTAAGATTTATGTCAAAAAACATTCTCTTAATCCAGTTTGTTGCTCATCGACTACTATAAGTACGTCATTAATGGGTTTATCTCCCCCAAAAGTGTAAACACTGAACTTCCCAGGCAGGCACCATCAAAAGATTTAGGGTGGCCCACTCAGATTTGTCAATCTTTTTCCAGCCTAAACTAAAGAGAGAGACTGGGGGGTAGCTACTATTGCAGGCAGAGCCAGAGGGTGTTTAGCCGGTGTTGGACCATGGCTGATGCGTTACATGGGAAAAGAAATTCAGATTTGGTTAAAGAAGTGCAAGTCAAAATGCAAAGATTTGCCAAAATATGCAGAAATAGACAATGGGGTAAAACAAGGGTTAACTTTGGCGGTGCTTTTAAAAGATGTAGAAATTAAATGGAATGTTTGGGTTTCAATCAAGATGCGGAACTTGTGGAGCTTCTTCTTAACAGGTACTCTAAAGCTAAACTCAAGTTTCTGCCACACATGTTAGCTGTGTACTATCAATTCCCAAATTAAATAATAAGATATTGTAGGGATAATAATAATAGTAAGGAAGTGATGAGGTATAAGGTTGTTTGAAAATATGCTTTATTTTATATATATATATATATATATGCAACCCTTTCTGTCTATTTTTATGCATCTCTTTCTGCAGCCCAGAGTAAAGTACAATTCCTAACTAAAGAGAGAGACTGGGGGGTAGCTACTATTGCAGGCAGAGCCAGAGGGTGTTTAGCCGGTGTTGGACCATGGCTGATGCGTTACATGGGAAAAGAAATTCAGATTTGGTTAAAGAAGTGCAAGTCAAAATGCAAAGATTTGCCAAAATATGCAGAAATAGACAATGGGGTAAAACAAGGGTTAACTTTGGCGGTGCTTTTAAAAGATGTAGAAATTAAATGGAATGTTTGGGTTTCAATCAAGATGCGGAACTTGTGGAGCTTCTTCTTAACAGGTACTCTAAAGCTAAACTCAAGTTTCTGCCACACATGTTAGCTGTGTACTATCAATTCCCAAATTAAATAATAAGATATTGTAGGGATAAGAATAATAGTAAGGAAGTGATGAGGTATAAGGTTGTTTGAAAATATGCTTTATTTTAATTTTATATATATATATATATATGCAACCCTTTCTGTCTATTTTTATGCATCTCTTTCTGCAGCCCAGAGTAAAGTACAATTCCTTGAAGGTCAGAAGCTCTCAGATACCGAGGTATGTGTATTATTTTTATCTATCATCTAGAGTTTCTTTATTTTTCCCTCCTCTTATACACTCCCTCTCATTTTCGACCCTGCTTCAACACTCAAGACCACGGAAGACAGGGAGTTGTGAGTCATATCTCTTGTTCTCATCTAATCTCTCTCCTTTTTTCTCCCCCGTACACATTTGTGACTGAGCATTCTGGACTGCACTGATTTCTCATCTGAAAGCGCTGATGGGGGCAGAAGGTAATTGGAGGGTGAACCGTGACCTTCACACCTCAAATCTTTGATCTGCGCCCTACATTCAGGTGCAGAGAAATGATGTGGAATTCTATAGCACACACACATTGTTCACACACCGCAACATCTCAGCTGGTGACTCATTCACAGCTAGTTACAATGTCTGAGATTTCTCTCATGGCGTGTGTATGTGGCCCAGAATTTTTTAGTGAGATTTGATACTGAATAGAGCCTGTCACAGCGTTTCGAAATGTCAAGTGTCTCGACAGCACTGATGATTCTGAAAAAAAGAAAGCCGAGGGATGTTGATTTTACCCAGATGTCTCGCATTGATAGCATCTTCTTCTTGTACTTGCTCTGTATAATAACTTCAGTTTGATGGACATGTTTATTCAAACAAACAACATGAATTGACAGCCCTCCACAGTGAATGCATGCATGAGGAGGGGGTAAAATGTCGCTTACGCCCATCTTCAGCTACCACCTCCATGGTGTAGGTGCTGTTCTCCTCTCTGTCCAAAGCTTGGACCGTCTTGAGCTCTCCGGAGTACTTCCCAATGGAGAAATATTTCTTAGTGTCTCCTCTCAGTGAATACCTGAAGAAAGAACAGCTTTTGAATCACATATTCTCTTTCATAATCAAGCAATTATAACATTATGGATTATAATGCAAAAAAAAAGGCTTTTAGTAAAACAATCTACAAAGAATTACATTAAATTGATCAAAAGTGAGACTAAAGACATTTGAAATGTTACAAAAGATTTTTATATCAAATAAATGCTGTTCATTCTATTCATCAAAGAATCCTGAAATAAATGTATCACGTTTTCCACAAAAATATAAAGCTGCCCAACTGTTTTCAGATTTTAAATAATAATATGTTTTCAGCATATTAGAATAATTTCTGAAGTATCATGTGACACTGAAGACTGGAGTAATGGCTGCTGAAAATTCAGCTTTACCATCACAGCAATAGATTACATTTTCAAATATATTACAAAAGAAACTCATAACCTCTGATTGTGGCAATAACACGTCCTGGCTCCTCCCCTTCTCTGACAGTGACTTCATAATGGCTTTGAGACAAAACGGGGCCTTCATTGATGTCATCGATAAAAATGGTGACAGTTGCTGTGGATGCTGGTCCGTACCTTCCTCGGACCAGAGCAACTGGGTTCTGAGCGCTCAGTACCAGTATATACTCATTCTCCCGCTCAAAGTCCAGCACCTGCACACAGTTGGCCAATGAGCACACTGTTAGTACATTACATTTTTTTTCAAGAGAAAATAATGCCACATTGTAATTATGAAAATAATAATATAAAAAGAACAAAAAGCAGTGTTCTGATTTTCACAGGCAGTTGTTTTAATAATCTGTACCAGCACACTGTAGACCAGGACAAAAATCACACAATCTGAGAGTGTCTCACTGGTCATCACAATGTGTCAAACTGCATTTCTGAAGGTAAAATGTGTTCAAATCAGGTTCTGAATGACCCATTGTATGCTCTGATGTCATTCTTCAGACTGAAGGTCAGATATTTCTCTGGATGCTCACAACCTGCTGACATCACTCTGGCTATATGTCATACACTGGGCTGTCTTGGTAACAGAATGCAGATAAATGCCGATCTGAGAGCGGGCGATGTCAAAACAGTTTTTGGTTATCCATACCTGTAATTGTCATCTTTTCATTTTCATTTCTCATTTAACTTAATTCTCAAGGCTTCACCTTTAAAGCTTGTTTGTTGAAAAATCAACAACAACAACAAAAATCATCCAGATTGAAGAATGCTCGCCAGACCCAGGAAATGAATTGGGGACCACGGTCTGACATGATGTCCTCGGGTAGTCAGCTGCTTCCATCACAGTGGGTAGACCCTTTAGCGGAATGAGTTTGGCATCTTGTAGATACTCCAGATTTTTATGATCTGTGATGATGGTAAATGGGTGACGGGAGCCCTCGAGTCAATGCCTCCACTCCTTGAGGGTCAATTTCATGCCAAGCAGCTCACGGTTACCAATACCATGGGACAGCTTTTTTTGAGTAGAAGGCACATGGATGGAGTACCAGAGGTTCACCCTGCCACTGAGAGAGGATGTCTCCCACCCCGGTGATGGATGCGTCTACCTTGACCAGGAAGGGAAGCTTGTGATCAGGAAGCACAAGGGCAGGAGCTGATGTAAAGGCGTCCTTCAGTTGTTGGAAAGCCTCTTGTGCAGCGGATGTCCAGGATAGGGACTTGGGCCTTTGTTGGAGCAGGGATGTTAAAGGTGAGCTGAGCTGACTGAAATTAGCCATATACCGGCGGTATAAATTGGCAAAGCCCAGGAAGCATTGGAGATCCTTGATGGTGCTTGGAGTAGGCCAGTACCTTACTGCCTGGACCTTCTTCGGGTCTATTTGTATGCCGTTGCGGTGAATAATATAGCCCAGAAAGTGAAGCTTGTCACGATGGAACTCACATTTCACATTTCTTGAGGTAAAGATGGTGCGGTCTCAGCTTGGTCAGGACCTGCTTCACATGGTGGCGATGTTTGGTCAGGTTCCAGGAGTAGATCAGGATATCATTGATGTAGACAATGACGAACTGGTGGAGGAACTCCCGGAACACCTCGTTCATGAAACCCTGGAATACGGAGGGTGAGTTAGCAAGCCCATACAGCATGACTTGATATTCATAATGCCCAGATGGAGTAACAAAGGCGGTCTTCCACTCGTCACCCTCACGTATCTGGATGAGATTGTACGCGCTCAGCAGGTCCAGCTTGGTGAAGATGCGAGCTCCCCGCAGTTGCTCCAGGGTGGCAGGGACTAAGGGTAGAGGATAACTGTCACAGTGAGGCTCTGTGACTAGAGGCTCTTATTATGAGAAGGACACTTAATTTGACACGAGACTGTGAACATACATGTATGCATAAACTTCCCTATCTGTTTTGCGCAAATTGAACACCAGTTAACACAGATATGTTTGTGTCACTGATCATGTATATTAATTAATGTTCCTGTCCTCATGTAATTTCTTCCTCAGTTTAACATTTAATGATTCTTAAATTTCACTATGTTGATTTATGTATTGTGTTGTGTTAAGAAGTAAAGCAAGACTGGTAATCATATTACAACTTACATATTGTAAACAGTCATACTTACGTACTGGAACATTTTCCCACCCCAAACAGACAAAACCCAGTCACAGTAAATGCCACCATTTTGAAGATCGCATTCCCGCCAATAGATGGCACAGTTCATTGTTCTCATGTATGATGGGGAGGTTGATGATAGAATTCTTTCTTGGTTGAGCATTGTTAAGTATTAATAATTAATTCAGTTTGTTTTGTTCCAAATTTCTATGCATTTTGTAATATTATAACAGTTTACCTCTTTGTTGCTGTTAAAGCATATTTATTTGTAAGTTTCTTTATTACCTTTAATTTCCAAATGGTTTAGTCCAAGTAGGAGGGGCTTTACCTTTTTTTAAGATGGCCTCTCAGAGTTGTTGTGGGACTTTTTTTTCTCGTCTCCTTCCTTTCTATCAAGCTACTGCCCACACTCCAGTCCAGTAGGTGGCGGTAAATGCACCTTTAAGTTGGTTTGCCAACCGCCAATACAATTAAAAGAAGAAGAAGAAGAAGAAGAAGAAGTTGTTGTGGGACTCCTAGAGTGAGCTGAATTACAGCTGTGACATGGAATTGCTGCCTTTTGGGTCAATTTATTGGCATAGTCAAAAGTTTGTTGGTAGATAATATGAACAGGTTTTTTTCTTTGTATGAATTTTTGGACTTTCACTGTAAATATTTATTTACTATTTAAAAATATTTCTCTGCCTTTCTCACACAGAACAACCTCCTCGACAGCAACCAGTCTGGTTTCCGAAGTCGACATTCAACCAAGACTGCCTTGCTCTCAGTTGTTGAAGCCCTAAGACTGGCAAGAGCAGATTCCAAATCTTCAATACTTATCTTGCTGGATCTGTCCGCTGCTTTTGACATGGTTAACCACCATATCATCCTGTCAACCCTATTGTCAAAAGGGCATCTCAGGAACCACACTCCAGTGGTTTGAGTCTTATCTCTCAGATAGGTCCTTCAAGATATCTTGGAGAGGTGAGTAAATGCCACCATTTTGAAGATCGCATCCCCGCCAATAGATGGCACAGTTCATTGTTCTCATGTATGATGGGGAGGTTGATGATCTGTAGAATTCTTGGTTGAGCATTGTTAAGTATTAATAATTAATTCAGTTTGTTTTGTTCCAAATTTCTATGCATTTTGTAATATTATAACAGTTTACCTCTTTGTTGCTGTTAAAGCATATTTATTTGTAAGTTTCTTTATTACCTTTAATTTCCAAATGGTTTAGTCCAAGTAGGAGGGGCTTTACCTTTTTTTAAGATGGCCTCTCAGAGTTGTTGTGGGACTTTTTTTTCTCGTCTCCTTCCTTTCTATCAAGCTACTGCCCACACTCCAGTCCAGTAGGTGGCGGTAAATGCACCTTTAAGTTGGTTTGCCAACCGCCAATACAATTAAAAGAAGAAGAAGAAGAAGAAGAAGAAGTTGTTGTGGGACTCCTAGAGTGAGCTGAATTACAGCTGTGACATGGAATTGCTGCCTTTTGGGTCAATTTATTGGCATAGCCAAAAGTTTGTTGGTAGATAATATGAACAGGTTTTTTTCTTTGTATGAATTTTTGGACTTTCACTGTAAATATTTATTTACTATTTAAAAATATTTCTCTGCCTTTCTCACACAGAACAACCTCCTCGACAGCAACCAGTCTGGTTTCCGAAGTCGACATTCAACCAAGACTGCCTTGCTCTCAGTTGTTGAAGCCCTAAGACTGGCAAGAGCAGATTCCAAATCTTCAATACTTATCTTGCTGGATCTGTCCGCTGCTTTTGACATGGTTAACCACCATATCATCCTGTCAACCCTATTGTCAAAAGGGCATCTCAGGAACCACACTCCAGTGGTTTGAGTCTTATCTCTCAGACAGGTCCTTCAAGATATCTTGGAGAGGTGAGGTGTCCAAGTCACAACATCTAACTACTGGGGTGCCTCAGGGCTCAGTTCTTGGACCACTTCTCTTCTCTGTCTACATGGCATCACTAGGTTCTGTCATTCAGAAACATGGCTTTTCATATCACTGCTATGCTGATGACACTCAACTCTACCTCTCATTTCATCCTGATGATCCGACGATAGCTGCTCGCATCTCGGCTTGTCTAACAGGCATTTCTTGCTGGATGAAGGACCATCCCCTTCAACTCAACCTTGTTAAGACAGAACTGCTTGTGGTTCCATCAAACCCATCGTTTCATCACAATTTCACCATTCAGTTAGGCACATCAACCATAACTCCTTCAAAAACAGCCAGAAACCTTGGAGTTATGATTGATGATCAGCTAACTTTCTCAGACCACATTGCTAAAACTGCCCGTTTCTGCAGATTTGCTTTATTTAACATCAAGAAGATCAGGCCCTTTCTTTCAGAACATGCAACACAACTCCTTGTTCAAGCTCGTGTTCTGTCCAGGCTGGACTATTGCAATGCTCTCCTGGCAGGTCTTTCAGCCAGTTTTATCAAACTTTTACAATTAATCCAGAACGCAGCAGCAAGATAAATTTTTAATGAGCCAAAAAGAATGCACGTCACACCTCTGTTCATCAATTTGCACTGGCTACTCCAATTTACACTGTTCCCTCCTGGTGGAATGACCTGCCCAACTCAATCCGAGCAGCTGAGTCCTTAGCCATCTTCAAGAATCGGCTAAAAACACACCTGTTCCACCTTTATTTGACCCTCTAACTCTAGCACTTTCTATTCTATTTTAATTCTACTTTATCTATTTATCTTTTTTTATAAAAAAAAATAACACTACCTTTCTATTTTTTCTATTCTATCTACTTGTTTTTCTTTGTGTGTGTGTGTGTGTGTGTATATATATATATATATATATATATA